TATGTTCCTGCACAATGGCCTGTCATCAGTAAGTCTGCAAAAAAGAGGCAAATCCTTACATTGTAAATAAAATGTAAACAGAATACTTTTATGACTTAAAAGATCTCAATTCAAAAATTAAAGGAAATTTTATAAAGAACACAAAAGATGAAAATTCCTTCTATAAAACAGATTATAATTCCGATGAGTTCGAAGAGGTCCATTTTAAAGCATCGACAAGGGGGCGCTCAGCAACTGTGGAAGCAGAAATCGATTTAAAAACGGCGTATTTAAAGCCACCATCGAGATCCGCAAAAACCAAGCAACACCTTTTGGAACTGTGCAATAAAAATTTAATAATACCTGTTCATCACAAGTTTTATAAGGACTTGGTTAACAGTAATTAAAAAAATGTTTGTACACACTTGTATTAATAATAATAATAAAAATATTTTTTTGTAAGAACTAGTTTATTTTGTTATTATGTTGCCGCCGTATCTTCTAGGTATCGTTTTATAAATGACTTTCTTCACAATGCAATATCGCCATTACTATCAAAATACAATTAACGTTTTATTTTTAATAAATTGTTATAAGATCCAGCCAATAGCTTTATAATTTGCTAACTAAATTGTAATTTTGAAGCCAGTCATTCTACAAATAAATTATTTACAAGGCATAACTCGCTTGATACAGAACGTTTTGCTCATTTCTCGAAATTATTGTATTTTGTACTTGTGGCACTATTGAACTAGGTGTGCGATATGTAAACAAACCGTAAATTATTTTTCTCTACTAATTGCAATATTTGGGATTTTAGTAGGAGAAAAATAAATTTACTTTTATCTGCTTAGTACATCGTTGCCGATGTCGTTGAGTATGCCATATCTTGTTATAAAAATTCAGCAATGTTGCGAAGCTGGAACAAGATAATTTTTTGATGAATATAATTGGGATATTGTCTTGTCCAGCGGCAAAGTTCGTACAAAAGGATAGCATAAGTGCTAATTCGTCTTGTGTAAAAGGAAGGTTGATAGCATGAATGTCGTGTATACTAATTTTTGGAGCAAGTAGAATTTGTATATTCTGGTCATTTGGACATTTAATCTGTTCATTTCAGCCATGATTTGTGCAATTGTTTGGTTATCTATTATAACTTTTTCATTTAGTGCTATTACTGGAATTTTTGGAGTAGTTTTATGACCTTTTATTTGTTTTATTTTTGTCCAAACTTGATATGGTGAAGTGTCGCTTTAGCGATATTCCAATTAGTAATGTTAGTGCTTACTATGTGGTAAGTGGTAAGTGGTAAGTGATAAGTGGTTACTGTCATATAAGCTAGACACCAGAGAGTATTGCTATAGCCTCAAAGTTGGTAGTTAAGATATATTTTATAGAAAATGAATCATTAGACACGAAGATAGATGTTTCTACACTTGCTCTTGTAAATGTAGTCCAAAGGAAATGGTAATTTTAAAAATTTTTAAGTTTACGTCTCTGTGTTTCCTTGAAATTGGTTTCTTGAAGGCAGACGATATCTGCTTTTGTACTGTTCCACTGCACTAACGTGAAAGAAAAATATTTTTAACATTGGGAACGTTGTGAGGTCAGAGAAGAGTCAGTAGACAATTTTCATCATTATTTGTAGATTACGATGTTATGCTTCCAATTTTTGAATTGTCTATAGTAAGTTGCTGTTTCATTTTCTTAGATATATTATTGATTGTTTTATCTTTCAGAAAAGGGTATATTCTTAAAATGTCGAGTAATGATCAAACCTTTTACTTGAACTGATGTGCCTCTTGTAGAGTTTGGTTTGGATTTTCTTAATAAAGATAATTGGTTGTGCGAACAAAAAAGGCGGTTAATTTAAACTGATCGGGTGCGAATTTCTTGCATTTTTTAGTATTATGCTTTTTAGGCACGTTTGCATCGGGTGAAGGCACTTTTATATCTTTGATGGGTAAGTAAGATGTAAGTAGATGTGTTTGTTTCTTGGGAAGTAGAATCGCTGAAGTCAGAACCAGTTCATTTCTGGCCAATGGTAGAAGGAAGAAATTCATGGTTTGCGGCAATATAAGTGGTGAATATATCGACAGTTTTTATCTGTTGACAGGAATGGCACATCCCTTGTGGAATGGGCAGAGGAACATGGTGCCCACCTCCTATTCGACGCCAAAGATAGAGGCATTTTCAGATTTGCGGCCTGGAGGAGAGAATATAACCCTGATCTCTGTTTTGTTACCATTGACAACAAAGGCCAACCGCTAGCAGCATCACGAAGAGATATGCCTGACTTTTCACATAGTCAACATCGCCCCGTCCTAATCAAGATCGGTATCAGCATTCCGATTATAAGATCGTTCCCACGCCCTAGATGGAACTTCAAGAAAGCTAACTGGTCTGCTTTCACTAGTAACCTTGACAAATGCCTAGAATGGATTCCACCAAAGAGCCAGAACTACGGAAGACAAACAGGAGCAATAATCACCTCAGCAAAAGCGACAATCCCTAGAGGATACCGCAAAGAATATATCCCTGGTTGGACAGAACAGAGCGAAAAACTGTATGAAGAATATTGGGAAGATGGAAAGCAGAAGATTGCAGACGAACTACTCCACAGCATTGATGCTGCCAGGCGTGAAAAATGGACACAGACAGTAGAAAACCTAGACTTACAGAAGTCAAGTCGACAAGCTTGTCCCTACTGCGGAAACTCGGAAGTAGCAACCCACCCGTTCGCCAAACCAACCTAGTAACTCCAGACCAAATAGCTACGCACATAGTGTCAATCTCTAGGGCACCTCAAAATCGTTTACATACAATTATAGTTAAAAAGACCTCAAAACCATAAAATCTAGTCTTGCACACACAACAGAAGAATCCAACCCATTTACGCATGAAGAAATATCGCAAGCCCTAAATGAAATGAAAACAGGAAAAGCGCCGGGTTTCGACGCCATTCACGCTGAGTTCCTCAAACATAGCGGCAGATTCACTAGGCAATGGCACGCAGAATTCTTTTCTGACATCCTTCAAACGGGAAACGTCCCCCACCAAAATTTCAAACCCCCCGTTTCAAAAATGCAAAAATTGTCGCCATTTTAAAACCAGGGAAAAGTAATAATTCACTGAAAAACTACCGCCCTATCGCACTCTTATGTATGGTGTAAAAATTGTTCGAAAGACTGTTGTATAATAGAATCATCAAAACCATAGTCCAACACTTACCAGTGGAACAGGCAGGATGTCGGCCAAACCGCAGCTGCACAGACCAGGTACTCACCCTGACCGATTATGTGGAATCAAACTTTGAAAAGAAATCAAAAACAACCGCTGTCTTCATCGATCTATCTGCTGCTTATGACACTATGTGGCGACAAGGAGCAATATATAAATTAATGCGAATAACCCCATGCAGAAAGACCACTGAGGTTATTAACGCCATGCTATCCAACAGATGCTTTAAAGTTATACTGGGAGACAAGACTAGTACCCAAAGAAAACTGAATAATGTACTTCCACAAGGATCCGTGCTGGCTCCCATGCTTTTCAGCCTCTACATAGCAGACATGTCAGAAAACACATCAAAAAAGTTTGGATACGCAGACGACTGGACGCTTGCTGCAAGTCATAAAGAATTCGAGGTCACTAAACGCATTCTAACAAACGATTTAAATGCCCTAGGGAATTATTTCCGCAAATGGAGAATGCAACCCAATCCAACTAAGACAGAAGTGTCCTGCTTCCATTTGTACAACAAGATGGCCAACTATCAACCTCAAATCAATTTTGGGGATAGACTCCTTAAATATAATAAACACCCAAAATACTTAGGTGTTACACTTGACAGAACGCTGAACTTACTTAAAGAGCATCTTACTAAGACTGCTGCAAAACTCCGAACTCGTAACAACATCCTGCAAAAGCTCTGCGGCACTACATGAGGCTCCTCAGCACCCACACTTAGATCGACAGCATTAGGACTGGTATACCCCGTAGCGGAATACTGTGCACCAGCATGGATAAACAGTCCACATACTCACCGTGTTGATGTCCAATTCAACCAAGCCATGCGAACTATATCAGGTACAATCAAGGCCACGCCCACTTACTGGTTACCAGCTTTGAGTCATATAGCTCCATCACCCATGCGCCGGGAACATGCCCTTGTCAGAGAATTTACAAAAATCAATACTAATCCTGAGCTCCGCTCCCATGTCGGAACTTCCGCCAGGGACATAAATAGGCTCCGTTCAAGACACCCGCCTCTAAAAACAGCAAAATAGCTAGTAGATCAAAACTTTAGTGTAACTGAACGGTGGAGAGAACAATGGGAGAATAACGCTGCACCAGCTAACTGGAACATGTCATATATTACAAGCAAACCTGAGGGCTTTAACCAACCGAGGAATTTGGACCACACTCAATAGAATAAGGACGAACTGTGGCAGATGTTTCGACTCACTTTTTAGATGGGGAAAAATACAATCACCAAATTGCTATTGCGGCGCCGAAAGGCAAACAGTAAAACAAATGGTAAAGGAATGCCCGATTAGATCCTATAACGGCAACCCTTCAGATTTCCTGGCTGCTACAAAAGAGTCAATCGAATATATTTATAATCTAGATGTTTGTTTGTAGAATAATATTTGTATATTTACTGTTGTTTGTAATTTATATAATTTATATTATATGTACATATATGAACCTGTGATGAAGCCATACGCTAAATAAGTAAATAAATAAATAAATAAATAAATCTGTTGACTGGGAACCGTATTTTGTGTTGTGTTTGGTGGTGCCATATTGATTGATATTGAGGTAGAAGGGTTGGATTTAGCTAGGAACGTTTGTTTATTTGGGAGAGAATTGCTAGGAGGATTTTGACAGTTATTATATTTATATCAATACAAGAAAAATTTCTAAATGTGCTTCTATTATTTTTTTAATCTCCTCTGTTAACATGTAAGAAAAACTATTTCCAGGTAATAGTTTTATATATTCACTTTGTTTTTCAGGGTTATCACTAGCATTGGTAAATGTTTTCCAAAAATGATTTCTGAACAATGTGAGATGTCTGACAATTTAAGCAAATTCCTGAAAATTTACGACGAGTTTATAACTGGTCCATGCGCAGCTTAAAAATAAATTTTTTTATTATACTTACTAAATAAAGAAATTACTGAGTATCTATATTTGTGTTTTAAACTACCTGTTATTATAATTTTAAATGATAATATAAAAATTATGCGTCGTTTACATATTTATATCCGCTATAACTTCACTTAAAGATATGTGCTAACAAATATGATAAATACAATTATTACGAATATTTATCATTGGTGTGGATTATTTATTTAAACGAATAATGGACAAAATAATACAAGCAGTACGTAAAGATCATGGATACAGAATGGGGAACAAAGAAATCGAAATATTATATTATGCAGACGACGCCGCATTAATCGCCGAGACAGAAGACGGGCTCCAAAGATTTACACATATCTTCAATAATAACAGTTAAGAAATAAAATAGAATATCAGCAGAAAAAACTAAATGTATGACAACATCTAAATACCCACTACGGTGTAAATTCAAAACTGATGGGAAAATAATAAAGCGGGAAGCATGGTTGCGATATCTGGGAATATATATATATATATATATATATATATATATATATATATATATATATATATATATATATATATATATATACATATATATATATATATATATATATATATATATATATATGTATATATATATATATATATATATATATATATATATATATATATATATATATATATATATAAGGATCACTCAGACGAGTGGTGGGTTCTTATATCGGTCTCTAGGTGGAGAAATAAAAGACAAAGTTGATAGGCTACTTTATCTATTTTGAAGACGTTTCGCTTTCGAGTTTTAAAAGCATCATCAGTTCATCTAAAAAAATTTTACAATATGAGAACCACACAATCATGGAAACGATGTTAATTGTTACCTTAAAAAGATATGTAGCAGTCAATGTTATTAACAACAATGTGAATGAAACTAAGTAAATGGACATAATACGCTGATTTTGTATAAACAGTTAAGTAACTAACAACATATATGAACTTATAAAAAATTAGCACAGCAAATGACCATGTGGTCTAAAGTAAATTCAATGTTATTTAATGTTAATTAGTGAGTAAGAACCAAGAAAATCATAGATAACTTCCAACTATTTAATGAATATTAAGCTTTGATTTTAACTTTAGGTAGCATTATAAGTGATATTAATAAAATTTTAAAAAGTAGTATAAATGAAGTTACCAATCAAAGCCCTATGAATGTCGCCGGGAAAATGGCGTTTAATGAAACAGGAACGAACTAAACCGCGAAAAGACAGCCAACCTTGAGGTCAAAAATACTTTTGACATATCAACAAGGTGTAGGTACCAACCCAAATTTTGGGCGGTCAATTTAAGTTTAAATGAGTTTGGATGACTACCCGGTTGCAAAAGACAACACAGTGAAAAAAGTTGGTAGTGTAATAGCAACTCCCCTCACTAATCAGTCCAAATTTACAAACAGGAGATTTTCATTCAACCTCATAAGTATGTAATAACGTTAATCATTATGGCTAGTTAAACAGCCACAGGTGGTTAACGAGCTATTACTCTAATCATCCAAATAAGATGAAAATGAACATTATAACAGGATTAAAGGAACGTGTTTTAAAACTTTCTCATCCAGACTATCTACAAGAAGATCTTCTTTTGTTAAAAAATATTTTAATTGAAAACTCTTATCCTCCAGGTATGCTACATAGCATAATTTTTTCTAATTTATTAAATATAAATAACTTAACACCATTTTTTGCTAAATCTCAAAACACTGTATCCAACAATCAAAACATATATTATCATTCACTACCTTTTATACCATCATTAACTCCTAAATTAATACAAACATTAAAGGTTATTGACAATATAAAAATAGCAACAAAGAACATCAAAACTATTTCATCTTTATATTCCAAAACTAAATATCCTATAGACAAATTAGATCAAACAAATGTAGTATACAGAATTGTTTGTACTCAGTGTGAAGCTGAGTATATTGGTGAGACTGGAAGAAATCTCTCAAATCGCATGTAATAGACAAAGACCATATTATGGATTTTGATAATATTAAAATTTTATGTAATGAAAGTAATAAATTTAAAAGAACTTTTTTGGAAATGGTTTGTATTAGCAAAAGTGATAATAATTTAAACAAAAGGTCACAAATTCAAAATTTAAGCAAAATTTATAATTATATAATTTCTATTTAATTTATATATGCAGTCAGTAAAATATCACATTTTGAATTTTCCATGTATTTGTTACATTTTTTCGGGCATCTATCAATGGTGAATAAATCTTCTTCTTTTTTGTTACTAAACAAAGAAGAATTTTATTTTTGACAATATGTCAAAAATAAAAATTTTTAAGTTAGTATTTATGACATTTAGGCTGGTTGTAGCTATTCTAGTTTTGTTTACAAATTCAATTTTTTTTCTTAAGAAACTTCATCAAACATTTATTAGAATAAGACATTTTTTTATTAATATTTTTTGTATTTAATATGTAAGCAGTAGTTTTATATAAAAAACTAATTTTATTTGGTGAGTTAACAAAAAATTTTTTATTTCTAGTTCAACTTTGTAAGATATTTTGTATTTTTTAGAAGCTCTTGATAAAAATTGTAATCACAATTGAAAGCTCGAGTAAAAAATAGTCAACAAATAGCCCCTTTTATTGACTCCAACCCATAAAAAACAGTGTTATATTTTTTCCAAACGAGTCACAAGTACTTCTTTTTTCTTACTCTTATATATATATATATATATATATATATATATATATATATATATATATATATATATATATATATATATATATATATAACTAGTTATATCTGGAAGAATAAACACCTAAGACAAGACACAAAAACAAGAATCTATAAAGCAGCATTCACAACTACATTAACATACACGGCGGAGACAAGACCTGACACATCTAAAACGGGACGACTGGAAAGGAACAAAGGAAGTAGAAGAAGAAGATTTATTTAAACATTGTATTTTAGTTAATTTTTTTAGTTTTATCATGCTACCCAAAATTTCCCGTAGATACTGTTCTGAAGACTATTTCAGATATAATATTAAATCTTCAGAAAACAACTTACTCCAATTAGGGAAAAATTTATTTAGCAGACAGTAAGATAACAGTAAGTAATGGAAAATAATTAGTTTTTTATATTGTTAATTTTATATATTGTAGAAATTTTAGTTGTTTTTTCGAAATTAAAAACAGCTTACTACAAATCCGTCAATTACAATACAAATTCTTAGCTAGCTCAAATTTTGTTTATTACACGCGATTTCTGAATCACACAATCTTACAAGGTCTACGAATATGGGTCCATCAGTTGCTGGACGAACCAAAATTGATATTATGTCTTGTGTGCGGCAAACCATATCTTGAAGAACGGATGGTAGAATGTACAAAATGTACAAAATGGTGCTGCTTTAAATGAGTTAATTTACCGGATGATTCTGAAGTAATTGATCATGATGATGATTTTTCTGGAAGTGCCCTTTTTGTGTAGACGAAGCCACTAAGAAGTCTCACCCAAAAGATTCCAAAACCAAGAAATCTTGATTAGCTTCCACTTTAAAAAGTTCCTGATTAACAAGCAGCAAAATAAAAAGCTTTAACTTCTGCAGAAAGAACGAGATCTATTACGTTAAGGAGTCTAGGAGAATAGTCTAGATAGTCAGGACATCGATGAAGAGAAAATAATAAAAACTAACCTTCTGCTTAATAAATTTCTTTCTTTAAATATAGATAAGCCCTTTATCGATAATGTTGCCCATTTAACTTTAAAACTTGGTAAGCCTCTGTCAACTTATAACGATAAAAGTTCAGTTATATTATATAAAAGAAGGGATCCTTGAGACCTTTCTATTTTTAATAGCAATCTAAATGACTGGCCTGTTTTTACTGGCAGTTTTAAAAGGTCTACTGAGCTGTGTCAAATAATGAATCATGAGAATTTATTAAAATTGCGGAAATGCATAAAAGATCCAGCAAACATTTCAAGTGTTTTAATTTCACCCCAATTTTTGGAAGAACTGAACAAATTATTTAAGCTCATATAAATTCTATTCATAGATTACCACCTTTTAAACCGGAAAAATTTAAGCATTTATAAATGTATGTGTTTTATTGGAAGCATTTATCTGAAAATACTATCTTAATAACCCTATCCTTATGCATTAACTATTAAGAAACTACCTTCACAAATTAAAGTTAATTGAGCGATATATTGCACTGCTTTTTAAAATTATTAGGAATTAAGTGAACTTGCTCATTGGTTGTATAATCTAGTAACAAAATGTTTGTTCTGCTCTACCTACACTAGCCCTTAATGAGCAAAGTAATAAAAAAGCTATTTAATAATAATGCGCGAATAATTTATATATAAATCAAATACCTCCAGTAAAACACATAATTGTAAACTCTGTAATCAGAGTAGTTGTAAAAAGATTGCAGGTTGTCCAGAATTTCAAAGATATTGTTCTGAAGCTATTTTCTTGTGGCATTTTAAATTAATTACTATTTAACTGGGAATAAGCCACAATTAAAGATAAAAATACGTTTATTGACGTTTCAATTTTCGTTTATATATACGACGTTTATATATTGACGTTTATATATATTGTAATAGTTTTGTTTTTATTATTTTTATGTTTTATTGTTAATAAATATAATTTTAATTGAATTGAAGTGAATTTTAAAAGTATGTAGTTCGTTGTTAATATACTATACCTCGGCTAGCTCAATTATTTGTTCTAAGCAATCTGTCACTGTGTGACGTCAACTCTGTAGTCTCCTGGTAGAGTTCAAAAAGAAATTAAACCAAAATTTACTTTATATTTTTGATAAATTAACCCAAATGAAGCACGTTATTTATTAATATTGAACAAATTTAATATAAACAATAAAATTCGTCTGCAACTTGGGTTGCCTTTAAAAATTTACAAAAATAGGAATCGTGTAAACCTTAATGTGTCGTGAAAATAGAATTTGATTACAAAATGTGGAAACTCTCTACAATTACCTTAAATCTAAATGACTATTGCAACTTTATAAAGTGTTTAAATGAAATATAAAGAAAAGAAAACTGAACACTTTATG